GCACAATAAGAAGGCCTGGGATGTTTCTAGAAGGAATGCCGTGGTCGCCTCAGACAGACAGACAGAAGACATGAGTAGAGGCACATTGATAGAGCTGGACTGAGCTGCACCACCTCGCCACTCTCTGCCTCTGGGTCCGGGCCAAACCAGACAAACAAGCCTATCATTTAGCAGCAGCATTCAGCTTCCCTCCCCTCCTTTCCCAGCCTACTGCCTGCGCTCGCTCCAGCGCTTACAGAACAAGCCGTCTGCTAACTGTCTGCCAGCCGGCCCGCAGCGCACTCATCACTTTCACACAGGACCGCCCCCGGAAGCAGGGTCCAACATTAACTTATTTTTTTACAGAATTTCTACTGGCCCAGACATGGGGTAGTTTATAAATGCATTAGAGAACAGCAGTCCCCACAATGCAACTGTCCCCTATAAAGGAAAGTAGTCCGCACAGGAGAGCAGTCCCCACAATGCAGTAGTGTCCTACAGAGAGCAGAGTCCCCAAAATGCAGTAGTGTCCTACAGAGAAGAGCAGAGTCCCCACAATGCAGTAGTCTCCTACAGAGAGCAGAGTCCCCACAATACAGTAGTCTCCTACAGAGAGCAGAGTCCCCACAATGCAAGCTTAAAGTTGCAGACAGAACTTCAGGGGACAGGGCCACGTTGACATAACTGATGCAAAGGTGAAGAACGAGGGTCTGTGCATAGATCACCTTTGTTGGGTGTGCCACAGATAACGCATCCTGACCAGGGACCACTACTAATAGCCTCCAAGACCTGATAATGTTAATTAAAATCATTATGATTAACTCAAGCTAAAATGTAGTCGACGCATGTAGGTTTGAAGCAAAGTTGTTGTTTTTGTCCCCACACACCCTCCATTTTCAAATGTATCCAAATGCCTAGGTCAGCCTTTTATGTCCTGTCAGCGTTAAAACTAGAATAATGTGTTGAGTTTGAGCAGAAATACAGTGTGTGTGTGTGTGTACGTGATATAAATGTACCTCTCAAGTGCAGTTTGATAGCTTCAGACTTTTCAAAGTGCCAACAGAATCTACAGAAGCTTCTAATCATCAAGGCTGTCATCATAAAAAACTAGCGTTCATATGGTAATGTTTTCTCTAAAAACATATTTAGTTATTATTATCCTGTATTTACAGCCCTATGATTGGTGCTCCACGCTAGCAGCGCTGATGCCAACACAAGCGTCATTTCTTCGTTGCCACAATAAACACGCCATGGATGGGCACTCTGGTTAAAATCACCAGCACTTACATTTTGCTGTAAATTTGTAATAATTATCTACACGTTAACATTATTTAATTAATTTATACCGAATTATTGCCTTCAGATTTGAAGGCTAAGGAGGAATATTTTTAAGAAAATAACATAAAACTCGAGGCCGTATGGGTTTTGTGGCCAATATGATGAGGTGTATCACATTTAAAAATTGTGCGTTGTATAAGTATGACTGGGGTCGTTTCCCGCCTGGCTTACCTTTCCTAAGGAGCCAACCATGTCAGGGAAAACTCAAAATTCATCCCCACAACAGGCAATCATGAGAGAAAGTAGAATACATGAAATGAGTGTATTGCCACCACCAAGACTTTCTCCTTCTTCTATTCGACAATCTTAGTGAAAATAAATAATTTTGGAGCAGGGCCGCATGCAGCTGTGTAGTCATCCTGCTCCAGCATCATGCTAGGAACTTTCCCCATTGTTTCTTTATCTAAACATCAGGTTAACCTCTCCTACGTGGGGTTTTACATTGTCCTCGCCGTTTTCAACCTCGCCCGTTTTATTGCTCTAACTCAGTGGTTCCCAACTCGTCCTCGACAGTCCACGCCAGCACACATTTTGGTTGTAGCCACAGACAAACATATCTAATCAACTCATTGAGGGCCTGATGATTAGTTGACAAGTTGAATCAGGTGTGCTTCTCCGGGACTACAATAAAAATGTGTACTGTTGGGGGTACTCGAGAACCTGAGTTGGGAACCACTGCTCTAACTGAGGCCTTGTGGGCAGTCCCTGGCGGGCACCATGTGATGTTAAAGAGGAACTGACAGCGTTTTAGCACCATTAAATCTCATTAAAATATGCCGCATTTCTTTACAAGTGAGCACATAGATATGGTCATTTCACATTTTCATACATTCATAGAATGTTTGGGAATGACGTCGAGTCGGGTATTTGTGAAAATTCTATAGTAATATGAGTGGGAAAGCGGCTGTGCGTCTGGGCATTAAATAAAACGAATAAAAACTTGTCAGTATTGACCCGGATCAGAATCTTCACAGACCGGTACGCCTTACCTAATCAGAGCTACAGTCAGCCTATATGCAAATAAACCATTGCCATATGGGGATAATCCCATTCACTTTGAACTGTGTTTACAGGCAGCTACAACAGCATGACATTAGGTCATAGAAAGCACTCGCAAAACACATCTGAATGGTTTTCTTTAAAGGGGCAGTGCAGTCAAAAACATGATTTCCATATAAAAAAAAAAAAAGATATTCCCAAACTATAAGGTCAAAATAACACTCTGAAAATTATGATAATGCCCTTTTAGTAAGAGCTTTGAGAAAAGAAAAAAAAAAAACACTTGGAATTTCAGCCTGTTCAGGTGGGATGGAGTTTTTGGCCCACAGCATGACATCACAATCTGATCGGATTATTCTGACCAATGTATCTTTTATTTGCATATGTTTCCTCCTACTTTGAAGGGGTAAGCGGGGTAGGCTCTAGACCAGGGGTGGGCAAACTATTTCGCTCGAGGCCCACATCAGGATTTAGAAATTCAACATAGATTTTTGTTTGTCAAAATCTATTTGCGGGCCAGAAAAAGTGCAGTTATTTGAAAATATATAGGTCCATTATAATTTCTACATACCTTCTATCTAGTTTTAGACATTCAAGAGTGGCCTGGAGTGTTTTTTTAACCCATAATAATCCCCGCCGGCCAGATTCAATGGGTTTGCCCGAGGGCCGTAGTTTGCCTACCCTTGCTCTAAACTAGAGTCTCGAGACGATCCTATCCACCAATCAGGGCTGTGTATGTAAATATATTTACATTTGTATCAACACACCCACACAATCAGACTGAGCATTTCAATGGCAAAAGAAGGCTTGGGTAAATAAATGATATAAAAAAAAAGTTATTTTCATGAAATAAACACACAGTGATTTATTAGACATACATCGATGATTAAAAAATAAAAAGACTGTATGGGGGCTTTAAATATGTAAATACCAGAGGAGTTAAATCTAGCGAGGGATAAACTCTGTCAAACTTTTTCAGCGTGTAGTTGCACTGATACAATGGGGAATAGCCTGCTTGCTCGCCCTGCTGCAGCCTGCCGTCTGTCCCATAACCCATGTTTTTGAAAACTGAATGGGATTTACCAGCTTGCTTACCTGCACATTTGATCGATGCCAAATACATTTGATTGACAACTACGAGATATACTAACTGTCATTTCTTGTTAGCTAGTGAACCAAATAACAACTTAGCTAAAATCGTTTTTGGGTAAAAAAGTCTGTCACTTACTCACTCATCTAAGCGATGACATTAAACCCTCCCAGCAGCTAGCTAGCTACAACAAGGTAATGTATTTTTAGCTTGCCAAAAAATACATAAATAGATCAGATAGCCTATTAGCCACATTGACTTGTGATCATTGCCCTTGCTAGTTTTGTTGAAAATATTGATCGAGTGAAACTTAAACAGTTCATCACTCGAATGGCTGCAGGCAGCAAACAATGTAAATCACAGCTCATACAACCTGATAGCAATATTTTTTAGACTACCAAGCAACATATTGGTGAAATATATTAATCATGCATTGACTGCATCCATCTATTCTGCCAACAATACCAGACTATATGTCATGGTATTTTGAGTAAAATCTAACATACATACATATATATAACCTCTTATAAAGTTGGTTTTGAGGGATAAACTGTGAATTGGATATTTTGGACTGATATTATGATTGTCTGTTTCATATCTGCAAAGTAGTTAAAACGGTGTCAGTTCCACTTTAAAGGGACGCCCAGTGGTATACAAGTGCCTCCCATGTGGCCCCCAGACCCCTTTGCTGGGGGGCAGCATTGACCTAACAGAAGCACCCCCAACACCTTTTGCCGGAGGGCAAAATGTACCTAACAGAAGCACCCCATCACCCCCACCCGGCAAACTTGACCTCGAGTGACCGTAAAGTCTTGTGTCTCCACCCATTAAAAGCAACTTCTGCTGTCGCTGTGGCAACCGAGCCGAACCCAGGACTAACTGACCTACCCCATTCCTTCTAATGCCGCTGCAGCGCTCCCAGAGAAGTCCGTAGATGGTGGATAAATGAAGATAGTTCACACAGGCCGTTTAACATATTTTTTAAAATGCAGTTCCGGTCTACTTAAGGGGGTGGCTGTCCCATAGACACCAATGTAATAGCAGCTGGGTCTGGTCTACCTAGTTTATGGACTTCCATTGAGGACATAGCACATAATATAAAGGCTCCTCCCTCTCTCTGGGGAGGGGTGGAGCTTGTGATGCCCCACCCCCTGTGTGACACTGAGGGGTGGGGCTTATAGACTTAGCGTAAACAGACGCAGCAGTGCAGCAGTGCAGGACACAGAACTCTGTTGGGCCGTAAACAATAAAGGAGGAAGACGGGAGCGCTGCAGGCGCACCGATTGTCCAGCGGCAGTGGCCATAGAGACAGGCAAATGAGGAAACAGGACAATGGGAGGTGCCGAAGTAGATAAAGGAGAGTGGAGTTCCACAATCCAATCACATTAAATGGGTTTTTGTATAGCTATGCTGGTGCAAAGAGCTTGGAGCAAACATTTCTACTTCATTGTCTCCTTCAAATGTGGATGAGGTGACACCTGTACCTAGCTTAGTTTGTAAATACCCCTCCCATCCCATCCCTCCAACCCACCCCTTGTCCCACCACCCAGCCTTGTCCCACCACCCAGCCTTGTGATTATTTATATCTGCAAGCCTAGCCCCCTTCTCCTCCTCTCCTCCTAGCCCCCTTCTCCTCCTCTCCTCCTAGCCCCCTTCTCCTCCTCTCCTCCTCTCCCTCCAGCGGTCTTTTAAAGATGAGGACTGGATGGGTGGACAAACACTTCATAAAATGAGGATCTTCAAAACTTCACACTTAAAAATCATTGACACCAAACAGAACAAATCAACAAATTCTACAGAAACATTAATCTACACTGTAACATATCCTCCAATCAGCAGATCTAGTAATAGAGAGGGGCAGGGGGCGAGGCCGGGGGAGTGTCTCAACACTGCACAGGTCACGTGATATGGGGGAAGAAGCATGACCCCCCCCCCCCTACGAAAAAAGACAGGAGTTCCATTCTCTTAGGGAAACTCCACTGTAGCACTCCAAATATGACCCCTATCCAGTCCCTATAATCCAAGGAGGGGGAGTGGGGGGTAGGAACCCAAAAAAAGATCTAAGGAGGGAAGTCAAAAATCATCATCATAATCATCAGTAGCGCTTGGACTGGGCATGGGGGTGGAAGAGCAGTACTAGTGTAATCATAGTAGTAACGATAGAAGTAGTAATAGTAGTAGTAGTAGTTGTTTTGGGGAGACTGTGGTAAGTAGCCGTAGTGCCTTTGCAGTAGTAGTAGTAGTAAGTAGTAAATAGTAGTCGATGGTGGTTCGTTTTTGTGTGACTCGAGTAGAGAGAACCAAGAAAGATCAGAGAGAGCGCAATGGTGACGGAGTGAGCTCTCCAGCTCTAATGGTCTCCCTTGGGTTGGTTGTCCGTGAGGGAGGAGGGGCTAGGTGGGGGCAGGGGGGAGGAGTCCTGGCTGCCGGTAGCAGCGGTGGAGCGACGCTGGCGCTGGTAGAGCCGCCAGCCCTTGCGGCAAAGCAGCACGAACCAGTAGACCTGCGGCGCCAGGATGCATAGGTTACCCAGGTTGACCGACAGTGTCAGGTGGAACGGCACACCGTAGACGGGGATACCGTAGTGGCGGCCGTACACCCAGTACATGTAGGGAAAGAGGGCGATTCGACACAGGAAGAAGCTGAGCAGCACCATGCCCCCGTTGGCCTTGTGGACCCAGCAGTCCTGCAGACCCAGCTGTGAGAAACAAGAGGAGAGAAGGGAGGGAGGGATGTGTTGGGAAAATATTCAAAAGAGACAAAGAGAGAGAAAATAGGTCATTATATGTTCAAACAGTCTTGAAATTCTAAGTGAGGAGAACATAAAGTGGGCTGGAATCCCTGGGCCTGTTCAAATACTTTGAAAATGCATTCTTCCTTCCTTCCTCCTTTCCATGATGAAATCACTAATCTAACGCGACTGAACTGGTGAAAGATATGATGTGGTACCCAAGCATAATGGTAGATCAGTTGATCCACCATTACAGGAAGGGAAGGAGGCATTCTAACAGGGTCCATATGTGGTGTTGTGTGGTGTGACAGTGGCTCTGCAGTACCCAATCAGTCCATCAGAGGGAGCTGTGAGTAAAGACAGAGAGCGGCCCTCCTGAATGAAGAGCCAAATGTCAGCAGAAAGTGAGCTGGAGGCCAAGAGGGCTGCCTGCTCACTGCTCTTTGCTTTTATGTGATACACACATACACCAGGAGTGTGCATTTAGTAGGTGGCTGTATGAATACAAGTACATACACGACATAACCAAAAGTATATGGACACCTGCTTGTCGAACATCTCATTCCAAAATCATGGGCATTAATAAGGAGTTGGTCCCCCCTTTGCTGCTATAACAGCCTCCACTCTTTTGGGAAGGCTTTCCACTAGATGTTGGAACATTGCTGCGGGGACTTGCTTCCGTTCAGCCACAAGAGCATTAGTGAGGTCGGGCACTGGTGTTGGGCGATTAGGCCTGGCTCGCATTCGGCGTTCCAATTCATCCCAAAGATGTTTGATGGGGTTGAGGTCAGGGCTCTGTGCAGGCAAGTCAAGTTCTTCCACAACTAACTCGACAAACCATTTCTGTATGGGCCTCATTTTGTGCATGGTGGCATTGTCCTGCTGAAACAGGAAAGGGCCTTCTGCAAACTGTTGCCACAAAGTTGGAAGCACAGAATCATCTCCAATGTAATTGTATGCTCTAGCGTTAAGATTTCCTTTCACTGGAACTAAGTGGCCTAGCCCCAACCATGAAAAACAGCCCCAGAACATTATTCCTCCTCCACCAAACTTCAAATAAAATAAAATTGTATTTGTCACATACACGTGTTTAGCAGATGTTATTGCAGGTGTAGCGAAATGCTTACTTCACAGTTGGCACTATGCATTCGGGCAGGTAGTTTTCTCCTAGCATCCGCCAAACCCAGATTCATCCATCGGACTGCCAGATGGTGAAGCGTGATTCCTCACTCCAGGAAACACGTTTCCACTGCTCCAGAGTCCAATGGCGGTGAGCTTTACACCACTCCAGCCGACGCTTGGCATTGCGCATGGGGATCTTAGGCTTGCGTGCGGCTGCTCGGCTATGGAAACCCATTTCATGAAGCTCCCTTCAACAGTTATTGTGCTGACGTTGCTTCCAGAGGCAGTTTGGAAGTCGGTAGTGAGTGTTGCAACCGAGGACAGACGATCTTTACGCGCTACGCGCTTCAACACTTGGTGGTCCTGTTCTGTGAGCTTGTGTGGCCTACCACTTTGCGGCTGAGCCGTTGTTGCTCCTAGACATTTCCACTTCACAATAACAGCACTTACAGTTGACCGGGGCAGCTCTAGCAAAGCAGAAATTTGACAAACTGACTTGTTGGAAAGGTGGCATCCTATGACGGTGCCACGTTGAAAGTCACTGAGCTCTTCAGTAAGGTCATTCTACTGCCAATGTTTCTCTATGTCCACATACTTTTGTTTATATAGTGTATATATACACATTGTTAGGTGGTGATATTGGTGTGTGTGTGTGTGTCACCTGGATGAGGATCTTCCCTAAGGAGACGAAGGGCGTACTGAGCTCTGTGAGGAACAGGCAGCCGATGAAGTAGTCGCCCTGGTCCTTCCTGAAGAACTGAAGAGGCACAGGGAGGGAGATGACACACAGTTACTACAGTCTGATACAAGACCACACACACACACACACAGACAGTCACACACACCCAAAACCACCCCCAGTACTTTAGAACAGAAAGGCCTTGTAGGAGAATGGATTGTCCCTACGGCTGCACATACAAAAACAGGAGTCAGGACCCAGCTCAATAACACCAACTTGGCCAACAGAGAAGAGAAACCAGGCCCAAAAACGTGAGGAACTACCTGGACGGTCCAATAAGAAACACTCGTATTTCGTTGCAAAAGGTTTCTGTTGAGTGCATCAATGAATACGAGCCAGACTTGTGCCATGAGCCCAGTCAGTAAGTGAAGAGAATGGATTACTATGAGTAAATGTAAGGAGTATTGATGGAAGCTGCAGACAGGGATGCCAAACAGAGAGGGCTCTCTGTGTGTGTGTGTGTGTGTGTATTAGATATGCATGTGTGTGCGTGTGATGTGATGATGAATAAACCAGTAGCGTGCGAGTGTGAGGGCCAGACACAAGTTCTGCCATCTGCCCAATGGAAGAATGACCTGCAGCACACACTGCTGCTATGTAACACTACACCTACCTACCCACTGCACCTTCCTGCTGGACCAGGCCTCTGTGTGTGTGTGTAATATGTGTCAGTGTGTGGGAGGGGAACAAATCAGGGAGCGAGGGAAGAGGAGGAGGAGGAGAAGGGGAGGATTACAGCAGCTGGAGCCTGAATAATGGAGGGGTGGGGTAAGGTGATCTCATATCACCATTGACAGCCACTGCAAACACATGGGCCAGGTTTCCAATGCACCTGGCCTCCTCGCTACAAGAAATAGATGCTAACACGACCTGTGTGTGTGTGTGTGTGTGTGTGTGTGTGTGTGTGTGTGTGGTGTGTGTGTGTAGGTGGGTTCGCTGTCGATTACTGTATTATACACTCATTTGTCGTTATGCTGCTATTAGCTAGCATTCTTGACTGAAAATGCAGTCGAGGGGAAGACCGAAGACCGAAAACTAATAGGAGGAAAATATCAGCTAGTATCTACCTCTTGTATCATTGTCAAAGCACTTGTCAAATAGGGTTAGTGTCATCTCTCTCTTTCCCTCTTAGCCTCTCCCTCCCTCTTTATCATTCACTCCCCACTCATCCTTTTTCTTTCCCCTCTTTTTCCCCTTCCTCCATCCCTCCCTCTCATCAATGTCAGGAAGCAGAATGGCATCTCTATCAACCCCCCTCCCCCTCCCTCTCTCTCTCTCCCCCCCCCTCCCTCTCTCTCCCCCCCCTCCCTCTCTCCCCCCCCCCTCCCTCTCTCCCCCCCCTCCCTCTCTCTCTCTCTCTCCCCCCCCCCCTCCCTCTCTCTCTCTCTCTCCCTCCCTCTCTGTTCTCTCTCACCAGAGTGATGAGCAGCACAATGGTCAGAAGGCCCATGTCACTTTATCACCTCACCTCCCCTCCCCTCCCCCTCCTCCTCCTCCTCCTCCTCCTCCTCCTCCTCTCTCATCAGTGGCAGGCAGCAGAATGTTCAGCAGGGCATTCAAAACCTCCCCATTTTCCTGGTCAAAAGTAGTGTTGCCATTTTGGGCGCAGGCCAAGGTTGTGTGTGTGTGTTGCTACTGACCAGGGTGATGGGCAGAGACAGGGACAAGAGAGGCATGAGACTGAGGCCAGAGAGAGTCTCTGTCTGTCTGTCTGTGTGTGTGTGTGTGTGTGTGTGTGTGTGTGTGTGTGTGTGTGTGTGTGTTACTGACCAGGGTGACGGGCAGCAAGATGGTGAGCAGGGCGATGTGGTGGAGCACCAGTAGGAACTCGCGGCGGACAAACGAGTTGATCGTGGTCAGCGAGTGCTCCTTGTACTCCTCGTGGCCCTTGACCCGGAAGCGGTAGTAGTGGCTTAGGTACATGGCATAGATATCGTATGTCATGTAGGGCACGCCGTACCAGATGACAAAGTAGGTGGCCAGCCAGTACCTGAGCGAGAGGGAGGGAAACAAACGTTTCTTATTGGACAAGTTCAGGTTAGTCCCTCCCCATTTTGGCTGTTTGCTTGTGTTTGGTTCCTAGTGAATACACCCCAAGGTCATGTTCATTAGTGACTTCAGATTGTCCCTCCACATTATGGCCCGTTTTCTTCCGTACATTCCTAGTGATTATGACCTAGTGTGGGTGTGTTCAGTGAGGTGAAAAGTTCAGAGTTTTGTAAAATGGATAGAATAGAAGGAATAGCGCTGATCTGGCATACAATATTAATAATAACACAATACATTTCTATCTGAATGTTCTGTAACGTTGTATCCTCCAAAACAGGCCCCAGGTAGCCTAGCGGTTAAGAGTGTTGGGCCAGTGACCGAAAGGTCGCTGGTTTGATTCCCGAGCCGGAAGGTGGAAAGTTCTGCCCTTGAGCAAGGCAGTTCGTTAACTAGGCTTGGGCGGTAAACCGTATAAAGGGGTATTTGGAAAAAGCCATGGGATGGTTTTTCAATACTGTCAAAACTATGTATTTGAAGGATTAGAATATTTGTAACTACTTTTTAAGTTAATACCTGCAGTCAACTTGTGCTATATGTTAGGAGATAAAGCAGATTGCGTTCTTAATTTCACCTGTTTATTTTACATTATGAAGCTTACCGTAGTTCCCCAGAACAGTTGAGCCAGTCACGTATTTGTTTGTAAATAGCACAACAGGAGAAAGTGGGAGCTGGTAAATCCATAGCGTTCTATATCTACCGGCGATCTCTATTCTGCTGCACACATAAGGTGATGAAGTTACACTTGTATGCAATTCACTACTAAATGTTTGCCATTAGATATCTAATAACGGCTTCCTGCCAGAAGTCAAAGAGCTCTGGATGAGTTCTGTACAGTTGCCATTTTTTTCCTGTGCTTAGTACTAGCAGGGGGGGTTTTCTCCTACATTCTTCTCCCCTCTGCTCCATGTACACATGCTGCTCTTCCTTCAGAAAAGCATCAATCACAACTTTATTCATTAGCACAACTTCTCATTTACTTTAGCTTGTAAATGCCCACACTCACCGAAAATGACATTCGTAGCTACGCTTGTATAACTTAATGAGCTGGATTTGCCTGTCTTTGCAATTAGTTTGTTTGTTTTCGCTTGTTAGCATTTAGCTAACAACGTCTATGTGATTTCGCTACTAGTTTGTGCAATTTTCTTCAGCATTCTGGTAATAGAGGCCCAATGGGATAAATTTGCTTTTTTAGCGCCCCCTTGTGTGCTATGCCAGTATTACCGTAAATTCCGGGATGAGAGAAGGACGGTATGACGATATGAAAATCTGGATAACGCCCAAGCTTACAGTTAACCCCCAACAACAACTGCTCCCCGGGTGCCGATGATGTGGACGTCGATTAAGGCAGCCCCCCGCACCTCTCCGATTCAGAGGGGTTGGGTTAAATGCGGAAGACACATTTCGGTTGAATGCATTCAGTTGTGCAACTGACTAGGTATCGCCTTTCCATTTCCCAAGTTCTTTCCGTGTGTATGGGGAGTGAGAAGTCTGGACGAAGTTTCATCCTGTGGTTGAGTTGATACAGCATTACAGATTTTTCGGTGAAACTCATGAGCGAGCATGCGCTCTCAGACAGGCGTGATCACGTACACAGAAACAGGGCTTTACAGGCAGCTAAGCTTATGGTGCAACTGTAATAAAGAAATGAAGAGCTTGGGAGTGAGCAGCACAGGAGCAGACTGCCCCTAATAAAAGCAGATTGCTACTGGTTCATTATCATGAGCAGCCAGAACAGCGCTGGTGACCTCTGACCCCCTCAATAGATTCAACCTTCACCCTGTATTACAAGGTCACCAGACAGCCATGATGGCTCAACAGACCAGGAAGTGCTTAGGGCAAGCTGTCGGTGTCAGCTTTTTTGGGTAGTAAAGCTAGTGAGTTTCTCTCTTGGTCCCTGTGTGGTTCAGTTGGTAAGAGAAGTGAGTAGCCAAGTGGGCAAACAGGTTGTGGGTTCAATTCCCACAGGGATCACATACATATACAACATATTTATACAGTGCATTCACTGTACTGTAAGTTTCTTTGGATAAAAGTGTCTGTGTAGTGTTTGTGGCAAAAATTATTTTATAACATTAACTCTAGCTAAATGTGGGAATGTAGAAATGTATCGGCTGAAACACGACACGCACCGGCACACACACACACCCACACACACCCACACACACCCACACACACCCACACACACCCACACACACCCACACTCACACCCACCTAGACCAATTAGCTCAGTTGATTAGAGCACATTAGTTGTTGTCACTAACCCCCTGCTGGTCCTGCCCATGACGGCAGTGAGTCTATTGGTTACACCTGACCTTACAGTCAGTTACTGTACACTCAGTTGAAGAAGAGTGTGTCTGCCTAAGCTAAATGACAAGGATAACACAAACAGTTTATCCTCCTTGCCCTGTGGCTGTGTATATAACCTACATGCCTGTGTGTGTGTGTGTGTTGCAATGTTACAGGCTGGCGAGTGGTGACTCGTGCGCTCCTGCTCTGCACTGTGCTGTGGGGGTATTAAGCCCTGGGGGGGATTAGCAGAGCACTGATGCTGGGTTAGGTCAGAAGGTAGCCAGGGCATTGCACTGACTGAGGCTGGGCCAGGGTCAGAGGCGTCCCGGGCCTGGCAACTGACTGGCTGGATTACACTGACTATTAGCATTAGCAGTAGCGTTAGTATTAGTCAAGCAGCACTGGCCAAGACAAGATAGAGATACAGGGATAGAGATAAGGATCCTAAGCTACGCTAGGTTATACTAGGCTAAGTTACGCTAGGCTAACCCACACAGCAGCCTGCTACTGGCAGACTGAGCATATGGCCATCTGACAGATTTACAGTATTAGCATTAGCATCAGCCAGGTAGCACTGGCCAGGACAAGGATAGGGATGCTAAGCTAAAGCTATGCTGTTAACCACACAGAAGACTCCTACTGGCTGACTGAGCAGGTGGCCATCTGACTGGGGATAGAGGGGATCAGGGCCTAAATTAACTTTTTGGTCAACCAGCCACTGTGGCAGGTAAAAATCTACAAGCCACTGAGATGTTTTACCAGCCAAAGTATTTTTGCGCCATAATAACATCAAAAACACAAACAGATGACCATGCTTCGTAATGTTTCTAAAACAAGAAATGTATTAGTAAGAAGTGATGTGGTATATTGCTCAATTTCCATACTTTTTCTGTGACCTGAGAATTTTAATGAAAATATCAAATATTTATTTTTAAGCTGCCCCTTTAAGGGCGGGATGTTACCATGGTAACGGTACCACTCATGCGTGTCTGTGTGTGTGAGATTTGGGATCTGACTAGGGCGTCTCTTCGCTATCAGTTGAAGCAGCAGACTCAAACTAATGCTGAAAAACATCCAAGCTTGTGAAAAAAACTATGTAAATGGCCAAGAAACATGAGGACAGTCTCACTTTGTAGACTTTGAGTAAATTAGACTAACTTTTATGCCTGTGCGCAGCGCCTCCAAAAATGAATCTATCAGCACTTCACTCATTGCGCACAGCTCCCCTGCCAGGCAATGTTTCTGCCCGAGGTGGGATATAGGATTTATGTTTATTTGTGCAATTAGCAGCTATAAAACAAAACAGCAGAAATACTAATGTGCTCATACTTGACTTTTGACTATTTTTATTCGCAAACGTAATGCTCTCACTGTAGAGCCCTGCAAATTGACCACCTGCCAACGTGGCTGGTGAAATAGACATTCTTACCCGCCAATACCTAAATCTACCCGCATTTGGTGGGTGGCGGTTGTTAATTTTATGCCCTGGAGGGGATGCTATTAGCATTAGCCAAGCAGCACTGGCCTGAGGACAGGGAAAGGGATATTACTAGCAAAGTGATAAGGATGCTAAGCTGTGCTAGGCTAACACCACACAGCGGCCTGGTACCGGACTGACTGAGCAGGTGGCCATGGTGACTGGGGATAAGGATGGGACGTGGGTCTGGGACGGGACCAAGAAGAGCTGTCCAACTGGGGCTAGAGCTGACAGACCGACGGGTAAGCTGGCTGTCCTTAAAGAACAGGACCCAGGGTCAACAGCTGTGGCATGGGAATGGGATGCTAGCCACTAGCCTGTATCTGGACACTGGATACTATCACAGTCCAGCTAGCTAGACAGACAGGTGTGCCCTGTACTTTCCCTCACTAACCGGGTTGGTATGGATCTTTGGGCAGGTGGCAGTGGGTTTGCCTCAAGTCAAGGTAGAGACTGTGTGTGTTCACTCAGCAGCTGATAGGTTGCGGCAATTAAGCCCACTTTACTCTCTTTGGGAAACCGAGGTGATTGGTTCAGACCGTGTCATTAGGTAAGAGGAAGTGGCCGGGTGACAAGCGAGGGAGGTCAGGGTTGTGTTCATTAGGCATCAAAACGGAAGACAACAGACTAACAGGGAGGGACCACTGCTTTTGTGGTCCTAAAACGGCTTGCATGAAGCATTGCCGTGTATCGTTAAAAATACTATGCCAACAGAAAGAAAACAGTTCTTCGGCTGCACTGATTGGGCTACCCGGGTTAAGGCGCTTGTCCCCTTGTCTGTGAGTGGCTGTCCTACCTGTCAGTCATGACGTTACCGCTGCACGCCGACACAACGATGACTCCCGCCGTGGTGGCCATGATGGCGTGGATGGAGGACACCAGCCTGAGAAAGAGAAGGAGAGAAATGTTTCAAACACGCAATTAAAGACAACTAGAAATGTGAAGTTTCAGGGGAAACCGTCGGTTCAGTACTATAATTACCAGCTTGTTGCATTAATAATACCAGTTACCAGAATGTCAATAAGCAGAGAAGAGACAAGCAAATCATAGGGAGAGCAGAACTAGACAGCATCATCATACTCTCCGTTTTCTAAAGGAAGTTGCAAATAGACTGAGTATCATTTTTCTTCAGGCAAATTAAGGATGTAAGCATTTTACCCAGGGTAGCTTAGTCCATATCCTGTCTCACAAGCAATTATTATGGCAGGCTAATAGAAAGCCCATTTCATCAGTTTGCTGTTCCATTTGGTCTTGGTCTGCAAACTTTTATTAACTACATTATTGATTGGGATGCGATTCACATGTAGCATGATGGAAAACTCTGTTTCATTGTAGTTTCACTTCTCCCTTTCCTTCTGGGCCTGCCTTCATTGAAACAGTTTGCAGCCCATGTCTGTAATGTGGGATGTCATGCAAATTGTCAGCGATTGGATCACATTCACAGAGGTTGCAATAATGCATAATTCTGCGCTTTTCACACAGAAAAAAAAGAAAGCAGAAAAATGTCTCGTTTTGTAGACGCAGATCAAAAATTATTATTATTGTATTTTCTGCTCAGCTTCACTCACGGTTCGCTCCATATCTATATATTTTTTAAAATAATAAACTGCAAAGGAGAAGCTATTTATTTCAAACGTTTTTCAATTTTAGAATTATACATTCAAATCACTTCCTGAATTGGGTGACCTCAATTCGAATTGACCCCAACCTTGCAAATCTTTTGACCCAATCTTTTGACCAAAGCTAAACTAGACCATCATTTCTTAGACACCAATTGGACCGGCTACTTTCTATACCTGGGGGTCTGCAAAGGTACTGCAGGGGGTCTGCGGCCAGATCAGTACATTCGGAAAGTATTTAGACCCCTTGACTTTTTCCACCTTTTGTTAAGTTGCAGCCTTGTTCTAAAATTGATTAAATTGTTTATTTTCCTCATCAATCTACACACAATACCCCATAATGACAAAGCAAAAACAGGTTTTTAGATCTTTATGCAAATGTATTAATACATTTACATAAGTATTCAGACCCTTTACTCAGTACTTTGTTGAAGCACCTTTGGCAGAGATTACAGCCTTGCGTCTTCTTGGGTATGACGCTACAAGCTTGGCACAGCTGTATTTGGGGAGTTTATCCCAATCTTCACTGCAGATCCTCTCAAGCTGTCAGGTTGGATGGGGAGCGTCGCTGCACAGCTATTTTCAGGTCTCTACAGAGCTGTTAGATCGGGTTCAAGTCCGGGCTCTGGCTGGGCCACTCAAGGACATTCAGAGACTTGTCCCGAAGGCACTCCTGCGTTGTCTTGGCTGTGTGCTTAGGGTTGTTGTCCTGTTGAAAGGTGAACCTTGCCCCAGAGGTCCAGAGCGCTCTGGAGCAGGTTTTCATTAAGGATCTCTGTACTTTGCTCCGTTGATTTTTCCCTCTATCCTGACTAGACTCCCTGCTGCTGAAAAACATCCCCACAGCATGATGCTGCCAAAACCATCCTTCACCGTAGGGATGGTGCCAGGTTTCCTCCAGACTTGACACTTGGCATTCAGGTCAAAGAGTTCAATCTTGGTTTCTCATGGTCTGAGAGTCCTTTAGGTGCCTTTTGGCAAACTCCAAGCGGGTTGTCATGTACCTTTTACTGAGGAGTGGCTTCCGTCTGGCCACTCTACCATAAAGGCCTGATTGGTGGAGTCCTGCAGAGATGGTTGTCCTTCTGGAAGGTTCTCCCATCTCCACAGAGGAACTCTGGAGTTCTATCAGAGTGACCATCGGGTTCTTGGTCACCTCCCTGACCAAGGCTGTTCTCCCCCGATTGCTCAGTTTGGCTGGGCGGCCAGCTCTAGGAAAAGTCTTGGTGGTTCCAAACTTCTTCCATTTAAGAATGATGGAAGCCCCTGTGTTCTTGGGGACCTTCAATGCTGCAGATCTGTGCCTCGACACAATCCTGTCTCGGAGCTCTACGGACAATTCCTTCGACCTCATTGCTTGGTTTTTGCTCTGATATGCACTGTCAACTGATAGACAGGTGTGTGCCTTTCCAAATCATGTCCAATCAATTGAATTTACCACAGGTGGACTACAATCAAGTTGTAGAAACATCTCAAGGATGATCAATGGAAACAGGATGCACCAGAGCTCAATTTTGAGTCTCATAGCAAAGGGTCTGAATACTTATGTAAATAAGGTATTTCAGTTTCTTTTCAGTTGTTTTTTTCATTTGCAAACATAAAAACCTGTTTTCACTTTGTCATTATGGGGTATTGTGTCTAGATTGATGAGGAATTTTTTTTATTTAATCAATTTTAGAATAAGGCTGTAACATAACAAGATGTGGGAAAAGGGAAGGGGTCTGAATACTTTCCGAATGCACTGTATACAGTACAAGTCAAAAGTTTGGACACCTACTCATTCCAGGGTTTTTCTTTATTTTTACTATTTTCTACATTGTAGAATAATAGTGAAGACATCAAAACTATGAAATAACACATATGGAATTTGGTAATAACCAAAAAAGTGTTAAACAAATCCAAATATATTTTATATTTGAGATTCTTCAAATAGCCACCCTTTGCCTTGATGACAGCTTTGTACACTCGTCATTCTCTCAACCAGCTTCATGAGGTAGTCACCTGGAATGCATTTCAATTAACAGTTGTGCCTTCTTAAAAGTTAATTTGTGGAATTTCTTTCCTTCTTAAATGTGTTTGAGCCAATCAGTTGCGTTGTGACAAGGTAGGGGGGTATACAGAAGACAGCCCTATTTGGTAAAAGACCAAGTCCATATTATGGCAAGCACAGCTCAAATAAACAAAGAGAAATGACAGTCCATCATTACTTTAAGACATGAAGATCAGTCAATACGGAAAATGTCAAGAACTTTGAAAGTTTCTTCAAGTGCAGTCGCAAAAACCATTAAGCGCTATGATGAAACTGGCTCTCATGAGGACCACCACAGGAATGGAAGACCCAGAGTTACCTCTGCTGCAGAGGATAAGTTCATTAGAGTTACCAGCCTCAGAAATTGCAGCCCAAATAAATGCTTCACAGAGTTCAAGTAACAGACACATCTCAACATCAACTGTTCAGAGGAGACTGTGTGAATCAGGCCTTCATGGTCGAATTGCTGCAAAGAAAGCACTACTAAAGGACACCAATAATAAGAAGAGACCTGCTTGGGCCAAGAAACACAAGCAATGGACATTAGACAGGTGGAAATGTGTCCTTTGGTCTGGAGTCCAAATTGGAGATTTTTGGTTCCAACCGCTGTGTCTTTGTGAGACGCGGTGTGGGTGTACAGATGATCTCCTTCTGTGTATTTTCCACCGTAAAGCATGGAGTAGGAGGTGTTATGGTGTGGGGGTGCTTTGCTGGTGACACTGTCTGTGATTTATTTAGAATTCAAGGCATACTTAACCAGCATGGCTACCACAGCATTCTGCAGCGATACGCCATCCCATCTGGTTTGGGCTTAGTGGGACTATCATTTGTTTTTCAACAGGACAATGACCCAACACCTCCAGGCTGTGTAAGTGCTATTTTACCAAGAAGAAGAGTGATGGAGTGCTGCATCAGATGACATGGGCTCCACAATCCCCTGACCTCAACCCAATTGAGATGGTTTGGGATGAGTTTTTTTTAATTTTTTTTAAGGAATATTACTAGCAACAAAATATGAAAGACATTTTGGCAAAGCGATCCGTGGAATAAGTTTAGAGGGTGTAAGCTAATACAATACAATGGAATATTATTCATCTACAATTGATGTCCTAACCTTGGGTAACATGGGCCTGGGAGGCTCACAGGGATATTGGTATCTACTCAATACTCCTTGTATTTCCCCCAAAATATAGTTTTAAAAAATAAAAGTAATTTAAGCTTTAAAACTGCAAAGTTTACACCCTGCCTCATGGCAAAATGTGTAGAATTACAGGATATTAGCTTTAAAGCTGCAACAACAAAAAATATCTCTGCCCCATGACCAAATGTGTGGAACTGCAAAAAAAAGGCTCCCCAGACCCAACATTTTTCAGAACCCCTGTTCTAGACTGACCAGAGCCCCTCTATTGGATCAGCTCTAGACTGAATTCTTGAAGTGAAGGAAATAATAAGCTAGTAAAACAGAGTGACATTCAGTTTGGACTCCAGGCTAAGTCACATGGGGACATAACAGACGTGTGATTGACAGGCACTGCAGTGTCTTGTCCACTTGATATGGGTCGTCGTTCAGGGACCAAAACACCTAATAATTGTATTTCACATGGGCTGCGTCCAAAGTGGCACAACTAGTGGCCCTGGTCAAAAGTAGTACACTATAGAGAATAGCATGCCATTTCAGACACAGCAATGGAGTTCCCCTTTAAAATGTGGACGAAGGGCTTGTTCAACCAGGCACTTCCACCTCCCGGCTTAGTTTGACAGATCTTGGCAACTCTGGCAATAAGCAGCTCTGAAATATTACGGAAATCTAATTCATTCGCCCTTACCACAGCCACTCACTATTTACGCCTTTTATGCATCGCACGATTTCCAAATGATTAAAGGGGTGATTCTATTTAGCAGTACAATAGAGTCTCTCACTCCAGGCTAGGTCAGAGGGACAGAGAGAGAAGGCACACACACAGAGCCGTTTCCTCCGGAGGCCCGCCACCCTTCTCCCCGGGAACGCAGGCCGTCGTGATGACGCCATGACTCGGCATGGCAACAGTGGTCATGTGACCCTGCCAGCACCGTAGCCTGAGCTGGATAAGACTACCAACCTACCCACCTCCCTTTCACCACCCCCCCTCGTTTTTACCTCCACGCCTCACTGCCTCCTCGGGCCACACACTCGGTCACGAGACCTAGATTTTCACAATCCACTCATTGTGTCCCCCCTTTAAAGGACTTGAGGGAGGAAGAGAGGTGGGTTGCCATGTTTTGTCATGTTTCCCTTTGTTCCCTGTGTCGTAGCAGAGAGGATAACCTTGGTTTCCTTTTCCCAGAACAGAGTCGGTCTTCCTTCTTTATGGCTACTGTGTGTGGCAGGGCCACGTTTTGAAGATCTCTCTCTGTGTGTGTGTTTTTTTTTCTTTCTCCTACGGTTAATGGGGTGTGTAATTTAGAGCAGCACAGTGCACTGGTGCCCGGTCGGGGAAAGAGTGCAGAGTGAGAGGAAAAGAGCAAATCGCGCAACACTCATTAAAGCCACAGACAGTAGAGTCCAGCAGCCCTGCTCTCTTTCTGTCCCTCCCCCTTTCTCTCTCAATCCCTCATACACAGATGAAGCCTGTAGTGCTCAATTCGTTCATCCCCTAAACTGGACACTGCAATAACTGGTTGGACGGTTTTGACAAAAAAAAAATGAGTCTACTGGTTTGCCTCTCCCAACACAACCAAAATCATCACAACTAGCTGTTTCCTGGCTTTAGTAAGATGAGAAGACCCTGATGCCTGTTCTGAAGCGATGGAGTGATGTAGACTAATCCACATGGTTACTCAGTATTGGGTCATGTTCATGTAGGCACCAAACAAAAGAACACGGACTGAAACCGGGAAGGACTCACTTTTGTTTTCCGTTGCAATGCCCTAATGAACACTGCCCTAATGAACACTGCCCTGATGAACACTGCCCTGATGAACAATGATTCATGCAGTGGTGCTTTGGTTCATTATATTGTACTCTATAGTCTATCCACCACTTTTTTGTTAACAATGAATAGCCTTTGAAATTAATAGGCCTATAATATCTTCCCTAAGGACAAAAAAGTCTCTAATATCTATCTATACATCTACAGTATCTAGTAGCCTATCTAGTATCTAGTGTCTATCAATCTATCCATCTAGTATCTAGGCCAGGGCTCTCCAACCCTGTTCCTGGAGAGCTACCCTTCTGTAGGTTTTTGCTCCAACCCCAGTTGTAACTAACCTGATTCATCTTCTCAAGCAGCTAATTATTTGTCAGATGTGCTAGATTAGGGTTGGAGCGAAAACCTATAGGATGGTAGCTCTCCAGGAACAGGGTTGGAGAGCCCTGATCTAGGCCATCTAGTATCTATCCATCTAGTATCTATCTACAGTGCATTCGGAAAGTATTCAAACCCCTTGATTTTTCCCCACATTTTGTTACGTTACAGCCTTATTCTAAAATGGATGAAAACAATTTTTTCCCTCATCACTCCACACACAATGACAAAGCCAAAACAGGTTTAGACATTTTTGCACATTTATTAACAATTAAAAACTGAAATACCTTATTTACATAAGTATACAGACGCTTTGCTATGAGACTCAGAATTGAGCTCCGGTGCATCCTGTTTCCATTGATCATCCTTGAGATGTTTCTACAACTTGATTGTAGTCCACCTGTGGTAAATTCAATTGATTGGACATGATTTGGAAAGGCACACACCTGTCTATCAGTTGACAGTGCATATCAGAGCAAAAACCAAGCAATGAGGTTGAAGGAATTGTCCGTAGAGCTCCGAGACAGGATTGTGTCGAGGCACAGATCTGCAGCATTGAAGGTCCCCAAGAACACAGGGGCTTCCATCATTCTTAAATGGAAGAAGTTTGGAACCACCAAGACTTTTCCTAGAGCTGGCCGCCCAGCCAAACTGAGCAATCGGGGGAGAAGGGCCTTGATCAGGGAGGTGACCAAGAACCTGATGGTCACTCTGACAGAGCTACAGAGTTTCTCTGTGGAGATGGGAGAACCTTCCTGAAGGACAACCTTCTCTGCAGCACTCCACCAATCAGGCCTTTATGGTAGAGTGGCCAGATGGAAGCCACTCCTCAGTAAAAAGGCACATGACAGCACGCTTGGAGTTTGCCAAAAGGCACCTAAAGGACTCTGACCATGAGAAACAAGATTCTCTGGTCTGACGAAACCAAGATTGAACTCTTTGGCCTGAATGCCAAGCATCACATCTGGAGGAAACCTGGCACCATCCCTACGGTGAAGCATGGTGGTGGCAGCATCATGCTGTGGGGATGTTTTTCAGCGGCAGGGACAGGAAGACTAGTCAGGATCGAGGGAAAGATGTACAGAGAGATCCTTGATGAAAACCTGCTCCAGAGCGCTCAGGACCTCAGACTGGGGCGAAGGTTCACCTTCCAACAGGACAACAACCCTAAGCACACAGCCAAGACAACGCAGGAGTGGCTTCGGGACATGTCTCTGAATGTCCTTGAGTGGCCCAGCCAGAGCCCGGACTTGAACCCGATCGAACATCTCTGGACAGACCTGAAAATAGTTGTGCAGCGACGCTCCCCATCCAACCTGACAGAGCTTGAGTGGATCTGCAGAGAAGAATGGGAGAAACTCCCCAAATAAAGGTGTGTCAAGCTTGTAGCGTCATAGCCAAGAAGACTCAAGGCTGTAATTGCTGCCAAAGGTGCTTCAACAAAGTATTGAGTAAAGGGTCTGAATACTTATGCAAAATTTCATTTTTTTTCTTCTATATATTTGCTAACATTTCAATAAAAAAAACTGTTTTTGCATTGTCATTATGGGGTAGTGTGTGTAGATTGATGAGGGGGAAAAAAATATTTAATCAATTTTAGAATAAGGCTGTAATGTAACAAAATGTGGAGAAAGTCAAGGGGCCCGAATAGTATCTATCCATCTAGTTTCTATCTAGTGTCTAAATATCTCAGGGGTGTCAAACTCATTCCACGGAGGGTCGAGTGTCTGCAGGTTTTTGTTTTTTCCTTTTAATTAAGACCTAGACAACCAGGTGAGGGGAGTTCCTTCCTAAGTAGTGACCTTAATTCATCAATCAAGTATAAGGGTGAAGCGAAAACCTGCAGATACTCAGCCCTCCATGGAATGAGTTTGACACGTGATATATCTAGCATCTATCCATCTAGTATCTATCCATCTATCAAGAATCATATTTTCATCCCTAAGGACAGTAAAGTGTACATATCTACCCATCCATCTATTCTGCATCAGGATTAGAGGAGAAGTAGCATATTGGAACAGTTCTCTCTGTAGACACACAGCTTTAGTTTATTAGGATCCCCACATGCACCAGCTACTCTTCCTGGGGTCCACATAAAACGGACAAATACATGAAAGTACAGAACAGTTAGACAAAAACATAAGATAATACATTAAATTCAAAATAAAAACAAGTGGATGGCTCCAGCTGATATTTCCCTGGGAGGGCCACTGGGTGCAGGAAAGCCACGTTTGCACAGCATCAAGAGGTTTGGGTATCACCTATACAGCACTGTTCAGCACTTTAATGACAGTTGGAATCGGGAAAAGGCGTGCGAATGCGTTCTTGGTGGTTTTTGGGGATGTTTAAAAGATCCAGTATATTAGAGGTCACATTTTTTAAAGGTCCAATGCAGTCGTTTTTATCGCAATATCAAATCATTTCTGGGTAAAAATTAAGTACCTTACTGTAATTGTTTTCAGTTAAAATGGTCAAAAAAGACACAAAAATAGCTTCTTAACAAAGAGCAATTTCTCAAGCAAGAATTTTACTGGGACTGTCTGGGAGTGGTCTGAGTGGGGAGGGGAAAACTGAAAACTAGTTGTTATTGGTAGAGGGGTTTGGAACTCTCTTTCTTATTGGTCTATTAACCAATTTACCGCATGCTGATGTCACCAGGCAGGCCAAAACTCCATCCCATCAAAACAGGCTGAAATTTCAGGCCGTCTTTTCAAACAGCTCTTACACTAAAAAGGGAATTATCATCATTTTCACAATATTATTCCAACCTCAGTGTGGAAATATATATAAAACACAGAAAAATCACATATTTGGCTGCACTGGGCCTTAATACCTATCTGTTTCCCATGTGGCTGGGTCCTGTGTGGCTCAGTTGGTAGAGCATGGCGCTTGCAATGCCAGGGTTGTGGGTTCAATTCCCATGTGGGACCAGTATGAAAATGTGTGCACTCACTACTGTAAGTCGCTCTCTGGATAAGAGCGTCTGTCTGAAGTCGGTGGCTATGCATGCTGCTTAATATAGAGCTGTCATGCATCCCAATTCTCTAGCCTTCTGTCCCAAGTGTGCACTTGCTCACTTCCCTCCATGGAAATGACTGGTACAATAAAAATATGGTGGAAACTCCCTCTAGCATAGAATCATGCTTTAATTGTAAGGGGAGTACACAAGTCAAGTGCACACTTCAGGAGAATTTGGGATGCAGCCACACATTGAAAACTGCCATTCACATAATAGCAGAAATGGTGCAGCTGGACCTTCTGGTGCAACGCTGTGACCATGGCTCTCTCTGTCACTGTGTAGGAAACTATTCCCCAATCCCGATAAACTCAGTGCTTTTTAAACTGGGGCAAGGTCATGCCTTGAATATAGGTACCCTGGTGCTGTTGCGTCATTGTGCCAAAAAATATAATCAAATGTGTAAATGGCCCCATAGAGCGTCATTTTCTGTTGGTTCGAGGAGCATGGGCATCGAAATAGCTGAGCTGTGGGTTTGATTTAGGTATTGTATTAGCCATATATAACCTAATGAATACATTTCCTAACGGTATGTTTCATTGGATTTGCCTGTTGACAAAATGACCATATTATTAGGCCTATATTATTCCTGTATTGGCCAATAGCCACATACAATGACTACAGTAGGATATAGACACTGAGTGTACAAAACATTAGGAACACCTTCCTAATATTGAGTTGCACCCCCTTTTGCCCTCAGAACAGCCTAAATTTGTCAGGTCTTTTTTTTTTTTTACATTTACATTTTTTGTCATTTAGCAGACGCTCTTTTCCAGAGCGACTTACAGTAAGTGAGTGCATACAATTTCATACATGGACTCTACAAGGTGTCGAAAGCATTCCACAGAGACGCTGGCCATGTTGACTCCAATGTTTCCCACAGTTGTGTCAAGTTGGCTGGATGTCCTTTGGGTGGTGGACCATTCTTGATACACACGGGAAACTGTTGAGCGTGGAAAACCCAGCAGCGTTGCAGTTCTTGGCACAAACCGGTGCGCCCGGCACCTACTACCATTCCCCGTTCCAAGGCACTTAAATATTGTGTCTTGCCCATTCATGCTCTGAATGGCACACATACACAATCCATGTCTCAAGGCTTAAAAATCTTTCTTTAACATGTCTCCTCCCCTTCATCTACACTGATTGAAGTGGATTTAACAAGTGACATAAAAGGGATCATAGCTTTCACCTGGATTCACCTGGTCAGTCTATGTCATGGAAAGAGCAGGTGTTATATAAAGCAAGCAGACAGGCATCGAGGCATTCAGTTGCTGTTCGATTGAACGCTAGAATGGGAAAAACTAGTGACCTAAGCGACTTTGAGCATGATATGATCGTCTGTGCCAGGTGCGCCAGATCCAGTATCTCAGAAACGGCCGCCCTCCTGAGCTTTTCACGCATGACAGTGTCTAAGGTTTACCGAGAATGGTGCGACAAACAAAAAACATCCAGTCAGCGGCAATCCTGTGGGTAAAAACAGCTAATTGATGAAGGAGAATGGCAAGAATCATGACTACCTCATGATGCTGGTTGAGAGAATGCCAAGAGTGTGCAAAGCTGTCATCAAGGCAAAGAGTGGCTATTTGAAGAATTTCAAATATAAAATATATTTTGATTTGTTTAACACTTTTTTGTTTACTACATGATTCCATGTGTGTTATTTCATAGTTTTGATGTCTTCACTATTATTCTACAATGTAAAAAATAGTCAAAAATAAATAAAAACCCTTGGATGAGTAGGTGTGTCCAAACTTTTGACTGGTAGTGTATATCTTTAAATGTATGTTTCATTGGATAAGCGTGCTGACAAAATTAGCATATTATAATTAATATCAGGCCTATATTATTACATAACGAATGGCTTCGAACAGTGTGGCTACATGGGAATGAATGATCTGATGTTCTGTCATGATGGTGGGCCTTGAACCCACCAATAGGAGGCCTTCACAACAGCCCCACGCGCACGGTGCAGCTGCAGAGTGGAGATAACACGTACCACTTTACCCACGCGAAACAAACACCCAACGACTACTGTTCACAACAGTTGAGGCCAATGAGAGTAAAAATTCGTTAAACGCTCGTTACAAGGTCAATACCGTTCTCCAATGTTAAGAGTGAATTTATGGGGCAGAAAGGGTCTAATCTTGTAATATAACCTGTAAAACATGTCACTGCCTAAAATACCGCCAGAGATAGAAAAACTCAAGCATCACATCCTGCAGCTTATTCAGACGCTCACTGACCCACTGGTACTTCTAACAGGCAGGTAAAATAAATACAACACATACAGTAGTAGGACAATAGATCGTAAAACAAGCGTATGAATGAACTATTCATTATGTTGCTGATGGGCATTCTTATCAGTAACCTATCCTATAGCCGTTATTGCAGCCAGATAATGTCATATTTATTCGTAAAGAAAACAACAACACACGGGCTATGTGACATTGTTGCAAACTGGAGAGGCATTCAAGGCTGTGTTTACAGGCTACTGAGCTATGTAGCCCCTGAGGCATCAACACGTGTCCAAGAAAGGCTTTTTTCCGTTAGATGAGCATTATCTGCGAATTAATAAGAGCGTTAAGGCCAAGCGATCGGCTCAGTATAGTTCAGCACTTTACATTGCATAACTCAGTAGCCACCACAGCGCTCGAGGTTGGAGGGGGATTATCAACTGGAGTGACAGGGTTCAAATGAGCATCGAACTGACCCTTACGCATGTGAGCGTGTCATTTTGACCAAGATGGAGCAATATTCCCATGGTGTTATTATGTTGTAATTCACTGGGCTAGCCACCGTTATGATAACGCAGCCTACAATAAGATTATCGGGAACGACATGTAATGACCATTATGACAAATCAAATGTACAAACAAATAATTTCTAATCTAATAATATATTTTAGCGCAGTTTGAAAGAGCAAACGTGGCTAATTCGGTTAAAGCCCCTGCTGCCAAACTCAAGACAATTTGTTTTATCAGCTTGCACGACCGTGCTAGCCAGCCAGCTAGCTAGCTAGCTAGCATAGCCTTAGGGCCAGCTACTGCTTGACCAGGGTTAAACGTATACCATATGAAGAAAGGAAATTAAGAATTACCTCTCGCTGACCAGTACAACATCGGCATCGGTCCACTGTTTGAAAATGGACGGGAGTACTCTCCGAAAGACGAAGAAGAGACCGGGAAAAACTACGACGCCGCAAGCCAACACTTGCAACATCCTTGCGTTGCACTTGTCCTGCTATTAAGCTAGCGACCTATATATTATTATAATCTGGTTCAAGGGTTGCAAAATGTATTTTACACACCGTGTTTTACACCGGTGACTGGGATTCGCCGTGTTTTCTAGACTGCATTAGTGCTCACGCCACAAGATCCAGTCACCGGTGACCGCTGCGTTTTTTCCCTTGCCTCAGCAGCACCACACTGTACCGTTACACAAAAACTGGCGGTGAAGCTACCCGGTGATTGATTGGTCTTCACTCCTGGCGCAAAGCCGGTAACGTTAGCCACCACGCTAACTACATGCCGCGGGATACACTTTAATTACGAGGTTTGAGACTATTCAACCAGCAAAAACATGCGCCCGGTTGTCCACGATGAATATCATAAAAAGTGGAAAGGCAAGGTTCGACCTATGCTTCTTCGAGATGGGGTGCTATGCTGCTAACCATCAACGACTCGACAAGCGCTTTTATTCCTGACTGTGCAGAGACCCTATACACAGTGGACTGCAAGGTGCATTCCGCAAGACAGCGCCATCTAGGCAGCAGCGGACCTGTGCTGCATACCGTTATAGAACCCTGATTATTCTGAATTTTCCGTTTTAGTAGCCTACTCTTACTAGTCTCCACCAGAACACTGAATTAGACTATGCATTATTGCAAAATCATGCATTTTTGCAAAAACACTATATTTACATGTATCACAAAAGAGAAGTAGAAATATAAATATTCACATACTTTTTATGTATTTTCTGCTTATGTATTGATGTAATGTGCATGCTATTTCTAATCACGTTAGACACTGTATAAAACATATTATAAGTATCAAAAGAGCTCTGTCAATTTTTATATTACCTCCACATCATGTATATGTATGTCAATGGATGCGATGGGGCGCAACAGTGAGTAAAGGTTTGCATGCTGAGGGGGGATTGGTGAGGTGGGAAAAGGGCAGTGTGGCATCAGTGGCGCTCCGGCTGTGGTGCCCACTGAGTGGTGGAGGGCTCATGGTGAGGGCTTAGTGACCCACGGGTCACCCAGTGCTGCTGAGTCCACACAGGAGCCCCTTTGTTCTCCAGTCTGCCCATCACAGCCCCTAATCCTGCCCATCACAGCCCCTAATCCTGTTTCAGATTCAGATATACTTTATTAGCATGAATGACAAGGCCACTGTTGCTAAAGCGAAGTGAGATAATTACATAAACAAGAACAGTAAAAAATAAATAGTAATGGTGATTAGAGAAATAGTTTTATTTTTATTGCTTTGGTACTATTTTCACAAGTATGTGGTAAAATGTCAAAACTCTTAGTACAAAACTCAAAACAGATAATCAACAATGCTGTTTTTCAAAACTTTAAGCACATTTTCAATTGACTAAGTAAAACACACAAAATCACACAATAACCTTTTCACCAACCCTAATCAGTGTTTCATCTAGAAATACCTTTCATATAAAGTAATTGCCTTTCACAATGGAATGTTCACATTACTTTTCATATGATTTTCTTCTCATTTGTTTAAATACATTTGACCATCACTTAATCCAACTGTGCTTAATGGTTAATCACTTAATCGTTTGGTAAACCTACAGATTTTAAACAGGTTTGTCTACTATATATGGATTTTGAGAACTACAGAAATAAAATGTGTGTTTGTAAAGTATAAACATCTAAATTGCATATATGATACATGATGACTACTCGTTATTGCTAATTGGTTTAACATAGTGGTAACCACAATTGGTCACAATATAACGAAAAATACGTTATAGACCAACTACTTTACAATTTATATACATTTACATGTATTGTGTGTGTGCTTCTATCAGTTACACATACATGTCATTACATACACACAACAAGTAGGTCACATGGGGGAGAGGCGTTGTGCCGCGGGGTGTTTATTTTTAAAAAAAAACAGGTTTGCTGTTCACTTGCGCTAAATAAGATGGAAGGGAGTTCCATGCACTCATGGCTCTGTATAATACTGTACGTTTCATTGAATTTGTTCTAGACCTGGGGACTGTGAAAAGACCCCTGGTGGCATGTCTGGTGGGGTAAATTGACTATGCAAACAATTTGGAATTTCCAACACATTAATGTTTCTTATAAAAACAAGAAGTGACACAGTCAGTCTTTCCTTAACTCTTAGCCAAGATAGACTGGCATGCATAGTATTAATATCAGCCCTCTGATTACAATGAAGAGCAAGACGTACCGCTCTGTTCTGCAGCTTAACTAGGTCTTGCTTTGCAGCACTTGACCATATGACTGGAACATAATCAAGATAAGACTAAACTAGAGCCTGCAGGACTTGCTTTGTGGAGTGTGGTGTCAGAAAAATCAGAGCATCTCTTTGTTACGGCCAGACCTCTCCCCATCTTTACAACCATTGAATCTATATGTTTTGACCATGACCGTTTACAATCTAAAGGTGACACCAAGTAATTTAGTCTCCTCAACTTGTTCAACTGCCACATCATTCATTACCAGATTCAGCTGTCTAGAACTTAGGGAATGATTTGTACCAAATACAATGCTCCTAGTTTTAGAGATGTTCAGGACCAGTTTATTATTGGCAAGCCATTCCAAAACAGACTGCAACTCTTTGTTAAGGGTTTCAGTGACTTCATTAGCTGTGGTTGCTGATGCGTATATGGCTGAATCATCAGCATACATGGACACACATGCTTTGTTTAATGCCAGTGGCAGGTCATTGGTAAAAATAGGTAGAGTAGAGGGCCTAGAGAGCTGCCCTGCGGTACACCACACTTTACATGTTTGACATTAGAGAAGCTTCCATTAAAGAAAACCCTTTGAGTTCTATTAGATAAATAGCTCTGAACCCACGAAATGGCAGAGGTTGAGAATCCATAACACATACATTTTTTCAACAACAGGTTATGGTCAATAATATCAAAGGCTGCACTGAAATCTAACGGTACAGCTCCCACAATCTTCTTATTACCAATTTCTTTCAACCAATAATCAGTCATTTGTGTCAGTGCAGAACATGTTGAGTGCCCTTCTCTATATCATGCTGAAAGTCTGTTGTTCATTTGTTTACAGAGAAGTAGCATTGTATTTGGTCAAACACCATTTTTTCCAACAGTTTGCTAAGAGCTGGCAGCAAGCTGTTAGAACCAGTAAAGGCCACTTTACCACTTTTGGGTAGCGGAATGACTTTGGCTTCCCTCCCGGCCTCTAGGCTCAGATTAAAGATATGACAGATAGGAGTGGCTATAGAGTCAGCTACCATCCTCAGTAGCTTTCCATCTAAGTTGTCAATGCCAGGAGGTTTGTCATTATTGATCGATAACAATAATTTTTCCACCTCTCCCACACTAACTTTACAAAATTCAAACTTGCAATGCTTTTCTTTCATTATTTGTTTTTTTAATACATGAGTATGATGGCTCACTGTTCGCGTTGTTGGCGTTTCCTGCTTAAGTTTGCCCACTTTGCCAATGAAGTAATCATTAACTGGTAGAGCACGGTGCTTGTAACGCCAAGGTAGTGGGTTCGATCCCCGGGACCACCCATTCACAAAAATGTATGCACGCATGACTGTAAGTCGCTTTGGATAAAAGCATCTGCTAAATGGCATATTATTATTATTATTATTAAAATAATTGCCAACATCAAATGGTTTTGTAATGGATAAGCAATCTCATTCGATGAAAGTTGGAGTTGAATTTGTCTTTCTACCTGTACTCCCTAAAGTACTCCAAACTTTATATAATTGATCTTGGCTTCATAATACCGTTTCTTCTTCTTTTTGTTGAGTTTAGTCACATAATTTCTCAATTTGCAGTAAGTCAGCCAGTCAGATGTGCAGCCAGAATTATTAGCCACTCCTTTTGCCCCATCTCTTTCAACCATACAGTTTTTTAATTCCTCATCAATCCATAGAGCCTTAACTGTTATAACAGTCAGTTTCTTAACAGGTGCATGTTTATCAATAATTGGAAGAAGCAATTTCATAAATGCATCAAGTGCAGTGTCTGGATGCTCCTTATTAATCACATCAGACCAACAAATATGTTTTATAATGAAAACATTCACTGTGATGTGGATGAGAATTTATGGCCAAATGCTCAAGACAGGCTTGATGGAAATGAATGCGTGCAAAACGTCATGTTTTATTTTCATCCATTTAATTAATTAAATTTAATATCTTACATTTGATTACAGACAGTACACCTATGTTGCAATTATATCTGAAAAATACAATGTTTTTTTTGCATGAATGATTGTAGAGGATGTCTTCATTGATCACACCTTTGATTACACATTGGATAGATATTATGGAAATGATAGATTCTGTCAATTTTGTTGGACATTGTAAGTGTATTACCTAATGTGAAAACTGTGTAATCTACTGCAATTTACAGTACTGTAGCATATTACTTTCAGCACTTCTAAGGGCGATTTGAAACACGTATATTGCATGGTTTGCAATTGGATTAACTGGTAGTTAAAACAACTAAATTGAAAAAATATCATTATGTTGTGGTTTGGTGATTAAACCAGTGTTCTCATTACATTTCACAATAAACTTATGTTTTGAATCCATGGTTGTGTGGTGAGAGATGTTTACAATCCAAATGAATGCACAATGACAGATTTGAATGAAAGACTGGCTGCGTTACAAGTGTGATCAGTGAGTTTTGTACTAAGTTGTTATGAAAATGTACCACATACTTGTGAAAATAGTACCAAAGCGATTAAATTTTTTTATAAATACAAATAGTAACGAGATAATCTAAAAAGCACTTTGCTTTGATAACTAAACAAAAAAATTAAAAAGAAGATGTATATCGGTACAATGAGGTCATGCAGTGTATACCTGTAAAAACATTGAATCGGTACAATGAGATCATCTATGGAATGTAGGTGTGAATGCATGTGTCAGTAGTGTGTGTGTGTGTGTGTGTGCGCGTTCGTACGCACACACACACAAGCACACACCAATTTGTGCATATGGCTTTGCATGGATGTGTGTGGATAAGTATATGAGTGTATTATAACACAATGCTATTCACAGAGCAGTATATATTTTATTGACACATGTTAATTTTACTGGGCCTATTCAGAGGCTGCGGCCCAAATGGCAAACTACAGTGAGGGAGAAAAGTATTTGATCCCCTGCTGATTTTGTACGTTTGCCCACTGACAAAGACATGATCAGTCTATCATTTTAATGGTAGGTTTATTTGAACAGTGAGAGACAGAATAACAACAACAAAATCCAGAAAAACGCATGTCAAAAATGTTATAAATTGATTAGCATTTTAATGAGGGAAATAAGTATTTGACCCATCTGCAAAACATGACTTAGTACTTGGTGGCAAAACCCAATCACAGAGGTCAGACGTTTCTTGTAGTTGGCCATCAGGTTTGCACACATCTCAGGAGGGATTTTGTCCCACTCCTCTTTGCAGATCTTCTCCAAGTCATTAAGGTTTCGAGGCTGACGTTTGGCAACTCAAACCTTCAGCTCCCTCCACAGATTATCTATGGGATTAAGATCTGGAGACTGGCTAGGCCACTCCAGGACCTTAATGTGCTTCTTCTTGAGCCACTCCTTTGTTGCCTTGGCCATGTGTTTTGGGTCATTGTCATGCTGGAATACCCATCTACGACCCATTTTCAATGCCCTGGCTGAGGGAAGGAGGTTCTCATCCAAGATTTGACGGTACATGGCCCCGTCCATCGTCCCTTTGATGCGGTGAAGTTGTCCTGTCCCCTTAGCAGAAAAACACCCCCAAAGCATAATGTTTCCACCTCCATGTTTGACGGTGGGGATGGTGTTCTTGGGGTCATAGGCAGCATTCCTCCTCCTCCAAACACGGCGAGTTGAGTTGATGCCAAAGAGCTCGATTTTGGTCTCATCTGACCACAACACTTTCCCCCAGTTCTCCTCTGAATCATTCAGATGTTCATTGGCAAACTTCAGACGGGCATGTATATGTGCTTTCTTGAGCAGGGGGACCTTGCAGGCGCTGCAGGATTTCAGTCCTTCACGGCGTAGTGTGTTACCAATTGTTTTCTTGGTGACTATGGTCCCAGCTGCCTTGAGATCATTGACAAGATCCTCCCGTGTAGTTCTGGCCTGATTCCTCACCGTTCTCATGATCATTGCAACTCCACGAGGTGAGATCTTGCATGGAGCCCCAGGCCGAGGGAGATTGACAGTTATTTTGTGTTTCTTCCATTTGCGAATAATCGCACCAACTGTTGTCACCTTCTCACCAAGCTGCTTGGCGATGGTCTTGTAGCCCATTCCAGCCTTGTGTAGGTCTACAATCTTGTCCCTGACATCCTTGGAGAGCTCTTTGGTCTTGGCCATGGTGGAGAGTTTGGAATCTGATTGATTGATTGCTTCTGTGGACAGGTGTCTTTTATACAGGTAACAAGCTGAGATTAGGAGCACTCCCTTTAAGAGTGTGCTCCTAATCTCAGCTCATTACCTGTATAAAAGACACCTGGGAGCCAGAAATACTTATTTCCCTCATTAAAATGCAAATCAATTTATAACATTTTTTACATGCGTTTTTCTGGATTTTTTTGTTATTCTGTCTCTCACTGTTCAAATAAACCTACCATTAAAATTATATACTGATAATTTCTTTTTCAGTGGGCAAACATACAAAATCAGCAGGGGATCAAATACTTTTTTTCCCTCACTGTATGTAGTGCACTATGTAGGGAATAGTGTGACAATTGGGACACGTAGATGAAGAAGCCCACTGTCCATTGACACCAATGGAAAATGTGTGACCGCTTGGCTCCAACCACTCAGGCCCCTACGTGAAAACATTACCATAATGACAGACAGACTGTATTTCCATTAGCAGTTCAAGAGGAAGGAAATAACCTATAGTTATCAGTCATCACCTATTGGGCACACACTGGTTGAGTCAATGTTGTTTCCACGTAATTTCAATGAAACTATGTTGTATGTATACCAATGTGGAATAGATGTTGAATTGATGTTTGTGCCCAGTGGGCAGTATCTCCCATATTCCTTAAATCCTTATATTACATAGTATCTCTATTTTATCCAATCACCTTGGCTTTTACCACCTGGATCAGTTAAGGAACTGATTCTGATGATAATGGCCATTTTTGAAGAAGGGTTTACTTGCAATAACTGATATGTTTTTGTTTTTTTCTACTTAGTTGAATGCACTGACTGTAGGTTGCAATGTATAAGAACGTGTGCTAAATGACAAAGACTTTAATGAAGGACCCCTTGAATATATAGATTTCTGATAATCATCATCTTCTCCTTTGATAGCCTATTTAATAAGATACGGCTTAGTACCATTTTAGAGCATGTTTCCCAGGTAGACTGGAAGTCTAGACCTATCTTCTGTCTTTCCTCTTAGCCCTGAAGTCAGATGAGAGGTTGACAGCAAACTGATACTGCAATATACTTTTACAGCTCTCCTGGCCATAAATTGCCAATGTGAATAGGCATTAGGCAAATTTCAGGAGGATGGACGTCTGTTTATTAAGTAAAAAATAAAAAGCTTCTATGGTGATGTGGATATGATGACGTGACAGATACAGTTAGGTATAAAAGCTGATGTAACTGGGTGAAGAGAAGAAGAGGAGAAGAGAAAAAGGGGAACACCAGTTGCTGTCATTCCAGGTTAGTGTGGCTTACGTGGTATACTGTATGTGCTACCAAATGTAATGTCATTCGTTATGCAAACAATATGATAAAAGTGACCTTTGGGTCAACATTTGAATTGTCAGAGTAAGTATGTATATATGAATAGTATTTATCTTTTGTATTTAAGTATTTTGTTGTATAAAGCAGTGGTTCCCAACCTTTTTTTAACCATGGCACACTTTGATGGAATATAAAATTCTGTGGCACACCTACAATTTCTTAATGAATTTATTTAGTGGTAATGCCCTCCATCTGATCTGATCCATACTGCAAATCATCTATTTTCTGTGACAATTTTTTAAAATAGATTAAATAGGGTTTATTTGAAATATTTTCATAGTTCCTCACTCATGATGGTTAATTGGTGTGTGTACCCGTTTAAGAGCCTTTTATCATCAGAAATGATTGGTTATGGGTAGCTTCATGTGTGTGTAAAACATTACTTTTCTCAGATTTTGTATTCATAGATTTGAGATGTGTATGAAAATTGTGTTTTTTTGCAAAACACTATATATCCATTGTTTAGCGAGAATGTAATTGTTCATATCCTTTATATTTGACTGTGATATGTGGTTGTCTCGCCTCTCTATCTTAAGATGAATGCACTTACTGTAAGTCACTCTGGATAAGAGCATCTGCTAAATGACAAAAATGTCAAATGTAAGTGTTTTACATACAGATCTCATATTCCTGTATTTTTTTACATTGATGTCATAAATGTATCATTTGTACATTTCTTTATTAAAAAAATTCAGTTATTTGTTACAGTTGACTGTGTAAAACCTAGCAGTACTACTTATTTCTCTGAGAGTGAGGCGAATATATAGCATTTTGCAAAAAAACATGATTATTTGCCTCTCTGAAATGAAACCATGAAGTGATAGGTTTTAAACAAATACATGTCTGTCATTGAACAACCCTATGCCATGATTAGACAGTGAAAAAACACCAATCTCGTTCATAATTTCTTTAAACAATAAAAGCTAATTTGCCAACATTTCTGAAAATGGATATATAGCATTTTGGAATTAAACTCTTCAAATGTAACAGCCTGAGCGCACTGGACTTGAAACAACAATACAGATGTAACCATTTAATGTATTATCTGACCGGCACTAGTGCTACCAAGTCAAAATTCCACGTGCATTCCACAGGTCACATTTATAAGTGAGTTTTCAAAGAAAAAGATCAAGATTAGGAAAAGTTTCACAGCACACCTGAGAGTTCTTCAAGGCACACCAGTGTGCCGCGGCACACACCAGTTGGGAACCACTGGAGTAAGGTGTCAGTGTAAAATATGGCTCATACACAGAAATAAAAGTACGGTATTTTTCTTCTGTCTGGTTACAGTCAAGACTGCAATACCACTGTGACCTTCTATTGATGCATCTACATATTGGCTTTTATTGAAGAGACCATTTTATGCTGTTCCTATGTTTCTTATTGACCTGAAACATGAAACAAATGTGTCAACTTAATTTTGGCACCCTCTTAAAAAAAGATGGTGTATTTGTTGTATTGCCACAGCTTATTGACTGTGAGGCAAACCATTCAATCATTCACTTCCTTGTTCTCCCTCAACTGTAACATCTTGTTTGGAATTTTAATCTTTAAACCAACATGGGGAATTGTTCCAGAATATGTCTGTCAATGTCAAATATCTTTGACGATCTACTATCATGGAAATCAGTTTACTTAAGAGGAAATTAAATGTATTTCTCCACATTTTGCCTCTCTCCCTCTCTCTGTCTCTCTCTCTCCCTGTCTCTCTTTCTCTGTAACTCTTTGTATCTCCTTGTCTAGGCCTACGTGCAATCTTCAGACAAACCAGGGCTTTCTTCCTTAGCTTGGAGACTCCATACACAGGGTTATGCCTGTGAACCTATCCACTCTGACTGTTTGCCTGCTAGGCACAGGTAATGGTTTGACACTTAGACCTGGGACATGTTCAGTAGAAAATGAGCATTTCTTATTGGACCATTTAGTACATTTTCTTACATTTGGTGCCTAATGAATACCACCATGATTAGTTGTAAAATCTATATATTTTTTTTTACTTAAACATATAAAAACAAATGAGCATTGAATAATAAGTACATTTGAAAAATCTTAAATCTTAGATTTTTTGGAAGGTGCTTGTGTGAACAATGGTGACTGTTAACTCTTCCCTCTTCTTTTATTGTCAGCCATTCTCTGTGCAGACATTTCTCTTGAATCTAGCTCAACAACAACACCTATAAGCCCAGAGGCTACTCCTACCAATGTGTCCACTCTCGCACCTTCCACCGCTGGTACTAACACCTCTACTCCAGGGACTGACCCCACATCTAACTCCACAGAGGCCAACAGCACCACGGTCTCCACATCCGACCCCACATCTAACCCCACAGAGGCCAACAGCACCACAGTCTCCACATCTGACCCCACATCTAACCCCACAGAGGCCAACAGCACCACGGTCTCCACATCTGACCCCACAGAGGCCAACAGCACCACGGTCTCCACATCCGACCAGGCAAATGAGGAAGCCCCAGAGACAATGTTGTCAACTGGCGATATAGCCGGCATTGCTGTCGGCAGCATTGCTGGGGTGGCGGCTATTGGTGAGTGTAATACACACACAAGCGCACGCACACACCTCGGCACCGCAATTACCCTGGGCCTTATCTATTCATTAACAGAACAGAGGCAAACCCAATATTGAACCATGAAAGTGATACCACACTGGTTTATTGGCCATCATGGTTTCATGCTGTTCCTGTGTAACCAAATTGATGAAAATGCTTATATTCAAATCACTTTATTAGGAAGGAGCAGCAGCCCTGACTGCCAAATCAGAGGACAAAGGAAGTAAACAGACTATACTGAGGACAGGGACTGGTTTATTAAGGCTAACTCTAGTGGTTGTGGTCACAACAGGATTTAAACAGAATGCAAGATGACGTACAAACAAAACAGATAAACATACATCTTTCAATGAGAATGCCTGCTCCAGGCTACTCCTGCAATCTGTTTGTTAGTGCAAAAATGTCCAAGTAGTCCCTCCCGGTTTCATTTGGTTCTTAATTAATATGACATGGATGTAGGCATATCAGGGTTATAACAGCCTCCCTTCTAAGCCTGAGCCTAACCAAATATGTAACACCTCAAAGTGAAGTGAACCCTCAGTTTCATGTAATGTATAGTGTGGAAATGTAACATTTGTGATAGCCTTCCTTCATGACATAGATATTATATTAGAAAGTTCGGTTTTAGATTTGGTAAGAAAGTTGTAAGTCAATCTTTCTCTCTTTCGCTCTCTCTTCCTCTCTCCCTCCCTCTCTTCCCTCTAGGTGGAGGGATCTTTGCTGGTCTGAAGTTTAGTGGGAAGCTGGCTGGTTAGTGTTGCTAGACTGGACTGGACAGGCCTGGGTAAGGCTAAGCTGGGTGGGTTGGTAAAGGGAGTTTCTATTGGCCTGAGACCAGTCCAAGACTCTATATGCTGCACAACCACTGTGGAAAACAACCAGAGCCCTCTCACCTTCTTCCATCTGAAAACACTGCCAAACAACACATTGAGAACCTTCATTTACAACTATACAGGAATGCAGCCAAAATAGGGAATTTTATACAGTGCTCAGTCAAGATAAAATACTACTTCTACTGCTGATAATATATATATATATATATATATATATATATATATATATATATATATATACATATATTTATATTTATATTTATATATATATATATAAAAATATATATATATAAATATGCCTATGCATTTGATTACACTGAATTGTATATCACATATTATAAATGGCCACAATGTAGCATTCAGCTGTTGATGCATATGCTTTCCCTATCCAGTGAGAGCATATATGGGGGAAAAGGAGAACAGTGTATGAAAAAGACAAATGATAATACGAAATAACATGATAGCTACAGTATATATTTAATATGGTAACAAATATATTTTAATATTATGGTTCACCACACATCCTGTGGTGACAGTTTAGCCGTGCTTTGAACTTTCTGCTAAGTGTCTTTTTAAACATTTTAAGATGATCAATGATTTTTGTTGTTTGATTTAATTCAGTTTTTTTTGTCAACAAACATTTTAAGATGAGAATGGATGATCACATGGGATTTTATGTATGAAAAAAAAAAAATGTATGCACTCACTAACTGTAAGTCGCTCTGGATAAGAGCGTCTGCTTAATGACTAAAATGTAAAATGTAAATTTTGAATATGTTAGTTCCTCGAAAAGTGTTATGCACACACTTTAATTCACAACCAAATACCATGATGATTATGGTATTATGGTCACAATGTATACACCTCATTTTGTAATAAAGACCAAGAGTTGTTGTGTAAGTTTGTTGTGTTTTATTTGTGGTAGCCATCTTGTGAAGGAGACAGTTGATGGATGTGTCCCCTCTCCTCTCCCCTCCCCTCCCAGCCCTGATGCTGTGCTCTGTCTGCATGTTTTCATGATGTCTCAGCACTTAGTTTGCTTACCCCCATTGACTGGCAAGACAGTCATCTTACCTGACCAGCACCGAATGGGTCCAATGATTGAAATGTCATAGGGTATGGTCCAAATTAAACCTGATTCCCTATATAGTGCATTACCTTTGTACCAAATGGCACCCTATTCCCTATATAGTGCACAACTTTTGGCCAGGGGCCCTGGTCAAAAGGGCACTTTATAGGAAATAGGATGCCATTTTAGATGCAACCAAAGTGAAATCTAACAAACACTGCAGGCCTGATAGACTGCAGACAGGAACGATGCCTCTCTCTGTTATAGACTCCCCACTGACCTGTTTTCACAGAGACAAGCCAGCAAGTAAAATCCATTATTACATGTCCCTGCAAAGAGACTACAGGGCCCTTATTCTAGGGCAGTTTTGTCAGGTACATTTTAATGAATGGATCAGTAGTCCTACTCTGACATCCTTTATACACACAGATGAAAAGAAGGCAGAAATGGTAATTGTCCCTGTCAATTAAACCTAATGAAATGAAGCAAGTAAAGTGTTATGAACATGATTAAGCCCTTGATCATATTTTGTGATCAACTTATGTCTTTCAATGTGGCAATTCTTTTACAGACTCAAAATCGTTATGAGATGCTACAAAGGCATCATAGTCTTATAATGCATTATAAATCAAATCACATTTTATTTGTCACATGCTTGGTAAACAACAGGTGTAGACTAACAGTGAAATGCTTATTTATCGGCCCTTCCCAACAATGCAGAGAGAACAATAATATACATTTTAAAAAGATTATGATAACACAAGGAATAAATACACAATGAGTAATGATAACTTGGCTACAGTGAGGGAAAAAAGTATTTGATCCCCTGCTGATTTTGTATGTTTGCCCACTGACAAAGACATGATCAGTCTATCATTTTAATGGTAGGTTTATTTGAACAGTGAGAGACAGAATAACAACAAAAAATTCCAGAAAAACGCATGTCAAAAATGTTATAAATTGATTTGCATTTTAATGAGGGAAATAAGTATTTGACCCCTTTGCAAAACATGACTTAGTACTTGGTGGCAAAACCCTTGTTGGCAATCACAGAGGTCAGACCTATCTTGTAGTTGGCCACCAGGTTTGCACACATCTCAGGAGGGATTTTGTCCCACTCCTCTTTGCAGATCTTCTCCAAGTCATTAAGGTTTCGAGCCTGACGTTTGGCAACTCGAACCTTCAGCTCCCTCCACAGATTGTCTATGGGATTAAGGTCTGGAGACTGGCTAGGCCACTCCAGGACCTTAATGTGCTTCTTCTTGAGCCACTCCTTTGTTGCCTTGGCCGTGTATTTTGGGTCATTGTCATGCTGGAATACCCATCCATGACCCATTTTCAATGCCCTGGCTGAGGGAAGGAGATTCTCATCCAAGATTTGACGGTACATGGCCCCGTCCATCGTCCCTTTGATGCGGTGAAGTTGTCCTGTCCCCTTAGCAGAAAAACACCCCCAAAGCATAATGTTTCCACCTCCATGTTTGACGGTGGGGATGGTGTTCTTGGGGTCATAGGCAGCATTCCTCCTCCTCCAAACACGGCGAGTTGAGTTGATGCCAAAGAGCTCCATTTTGGTCTCATCTGACCACAACACCTTCACCCAGTTCTCCTCTGAATCATTCAGATGTTCATTGGCAAACTTCAGACGGGCCTGTATATGTGCTTTCTTGAGCAGGGGGACCTTGCGGGCGCTGCAGGATTTCAGTCCTTCACGGCGTAGTGTGTTACCAATTGTTTTCTTGGTGACTATGGTCCCAGCTGCCTTGAGATCATTGACAATATTCTCCTGTTTATTTTCCATTTGCAAATAATCGCACCAACTGTTGTCACCTTCTCACCAAGCTGCTTGGCGATGGTCTTGTAGCCCATTCCAGCCTTGTGTAGGTCTACAATCTTGTCCCTGACATCCTTGGAGAGCTCTTTGGTCTTGGCCATGGTGGAGAGTTTGGAATCTGATTGATTGATTGCTTCTGTGGACAGGTGTCTTTTATACAGGTAACAAGCTGATATTAGGAGCACTCCCTTTAAGAGTGTGCTCCTAATCTCAGCTCGTTACCTGTATAAAAGAAACCTGGGAGTCAGAAATCTTTCTGATTGAGAGGGGGTCAAATACTTATTTCCCTCATTAAAATGCAAATCAATTTATAACATTTTTGACATGCGTTTTTCTGGATTTTATTTTTGTTATTCTGTCTCTCACTGTTCAAATAAACCTACCATTAAAATGATAGACTGATAATTCTTTGTCATTGGGCAAACGTACAAAATCAGCAGGGGATCAAATACCTTTTTCCCTCACTGTATATACACGGGGTACCAGTACCGAGTCAGTAACCACACCGTAATGCATTATACTCCAACCATATTGTCACGCCCTGGCTCTGGGGACTCTTAATTGTTGAGCCAGGGTGTGGATTTTCTATGTTTAGTTTTCATTGGTTTTTGTTCTAAATCGTTTAGTTTCTATGTTGGCCAGGGTGGTTCCCAATCAGAGACAGCTGTACCTTGTTGTCTCTGATTGGGGACCATACTTAGGCAGCCTTGTGGCATGTTAGGTTGTGGGATCTTGTTCCGTTAAGGTTTTGTGTTAACCTAGGACTTCACGTTTCGTTTGTTTTTTTGTTCGTGTTAAGTACTGAATAAAGTATGTACGTTTATCATGCTGCGCCTTGGTCCGCTTCATCAGTCAACGATCGTGACAGAAGATCCCACCACCAGAGGACCAAGCAGCGTGCCCAGGAGGAGAAGAGGGCGATGGCTCAGGTGGGCGAATGGTGGTCATGGGAGGAGATATTCGCGGGCAGAGGGCCATGGGCAAAGGTGTATGCCCAGGCAGGAGAGGAGACTGTGGAGGCGCGCTACAGAGAGGAGCAGCGGCAACACAGAGGGTTCCGGCCGAGGAGGAAGCCCGAGAGACAGCCCCAATAATTTTTTCTGGGGGGGCTAAAAGGGTGGTTGGCGGATCCACGTACTGTGCCGTGAGTGTTCCGGCACAGTCCTGTACGTCCTGTGCTAGCACCACGCACGTGTCGTGCTAAGGTGGGCATGCAGCCAGGACGGAGTGTGCCGGCTCAACGCTCGTGGCCTACAGTACCCCTCCTCGGTCCCGTATATCCTGCGCCAGTGCCACGTGCTGTAGCGCCAGTACGAGTGCACAGCCCTGTATGTCCTGTGCTGATGCCTCACACATATTGTGCGGAAGTAGGCATTCAGCCAGGACGGGTTGTGTCAGCTCTCCGCTCCAGACCTCCAGTCCGCCCCCCAGTCCGGCCCGGCCCGTTCCGGCTCCCCGCACCAAGCCTATGGTGCGTGTTCCCAGTCCAGCCCGGCCCGTTCCGGCTCCCCGCACCAAGCCTATGGTGCGTGTTCCCAGTCCAGCCCGGCCTGTTCCTGCTCCCCGCACCAAGCCAGTGGTGCGCGTCGCCAGCCCGGTCCGGCCTGCTCCTGTCCCTCGCACCAAGCCTATGGTGCGTGTTCCCAGTCCAGCCCGGCCTGTTCCTGCTCCCCGCACCAAGCCAGTGGTGCGCGTCACCAGCCCGGTCCGGCCTGTTCCTGCTCCCCGCACCAAGCCAGTGGTGCGCGTCTCCAGCCCGGTCCGGCCTGTTCCTGCTCCCCGCACCAAGCCAGTGGTGCGCGTCGCCAGCCCGGTCCGGCCTGTTCCTGCTCCCCGCACCAAGCCAGTGGTGCGCGTCGCCAGCCCGGTCCGGCCTGTTCCTGCTCCCTGCACCAAGCCAGTGGTGCGCGTCGTCAGTCCGGCACGGTCCGTGCCTGTTCCACCGGTGCCTGGTCCGGCACCGGTCAGCTGCTCCACTCCGGAGCCAGAGCAATCCGCTCCACCGTTGTTCAGTCCAGCTCCGGCCAGCGGGACCAGACCAGGGGCGCAACGGGGGGGTAGAGAGAGAGTGGTGGTCACGCCCGGAGCCGGATCCACCTCCGAGGCGGAATGCCCACCCGGCCCCTACCCTGTTGTGTTGGTGTGGCGCGGTCGCAGTCCGCGCCTTTGGGGGGGGTACTGTCACACCCTGGCTCTGGGGACTCTTAATTGTTGAGCCAGGGTGTGGATTTTCTATGTTTAGTTTTCATTGGTTTTTGTTCTAGATCGTTTAGTTTCTATGTTGG